TTGGATTAAAAAAAATTGGATTAAAACTTTTTACAGGTAATTTTTGTTTATTTAATAATAAAAACCTTGTCTAAAACTACTTTTTTATCTATCGTTTTACGTCAAACAGGCTGAAATTTGTATGTTTTCGCCTGGTTTGTTTACATTTTACTCGRCAAATTTTTTGACAGAATGGTTTCAACAACAGTCTGAATTTACTGTCAKCTTTGARGACATGGATACAAGTGAATTAAACAAGTGTCTATCAAAGTTTTACGTGTCCATAAGGAAGAAAGATAGCAATTATTACAAGAAGATGACCTTGCTGTCAATCCGAGCGGCCCTCGACCGCCATCTTCTTCAATCCCCGCCACATAACATTTTACGAAAATGCAGTAGTTCTTTTTTCTCTATTTTTATGAATATTCACTTATGAAATTATACTAAAACAATTATTCACCGCTCGGTAAATATTCATTGATAATCACTTCGCCTTCGGCGAATAATTGTTAAATATAAGGAAGAAAAGTAAAGTTCAAATAAATGGTTGTAGGTTGGTCTATTCATTATGATGTAAGCGCTACTTCAACCTAAAAGTTATTTATTATTGTCGAGCTTTCGGCTCACCGAGCCATTATCAAGACGGAATGAAAAACGTTACATTTTACAAAACAACATAAAAACAATGAGCGCGCGCTCTGAGAAGATCTAATAAGCGCGCGCGGTAACTAACTTCTAATTACACAGAGATAATTTTGCGGGATCATCCGCCCCTGGGGTTGTTTATAGGATTCCCTGTGGTGAGTGTAGTACTCAGTATATCGGCGAGACAGGAAGGGCGTTAAGGACACGTAGAAAGGAACATGAAGCGGCTGTCAGGCTGGGAAAAACAAGCTCGTCGGCTTTAGCGGAACATGCAAGCAAAACAGGCCATGCGATTAACTGGAAGGAAACATCCATCTTGTGCAAAGAAAGCCGTTGGTCGCAGAGGAGATGGAGTGAGGCAATAGAGATTGCAAAGAAGAAGAACGTTTTGTTTAATAGGGACAAGGGGCGGATGATCCCGCAAAATTATCTCTGTGTAATTAGAAGTTAGTTACCGCGCGCGCTTATTAGATCTTCTCAGAGCGCGCGCTCATTGTTTTTATGTTGTTTTGTAAAATGTAACGTTTTTCATTCNCTTTCTTTTGTGTTTGGTAAGTTCTTTGCGTAATTGAATCTGCTGTCAAATAAGACAGTGGTTATTCGCTTGGAATTAGAAAATGGACTATTACGGCAATATTTATTATGCTCTTATGTGGTCTGTGTGAATAATAGTCTTTAGAGTCATTTCTTATTTCAGAAAGGCTTTACAGAGCAAGTTACTTGATGTCTTGCTTCTTCATGATATTTATGCTGACACAGCCACCCCCGACTGCACTCATGTCGAACTAGTAAATATGATTTCGTACGCTACGCTCGGTCTTTTCTTTTCATTCTTTTTTTCAGATTCTTTCATAGTTCCTTTCTTTCATGCGATAATTTAATCCATATAAACATAACAATGTAATTTTTCCATTGTTAAAAAATAGTAAAAATATAAAAGTAAATACGCCATTTTGCAGGTCAACACTTCATTCATGTAACTCAAAAAAAATAAAAAATAGATAAACTTGATCTTGATGTTCCGGAAACGTTGCAATTCGTGCAAAGTCGATCCAGAAACTATAGAGGGTTTTAAGCTTCAATTACATATATTTCCTTTTTTCACGGAATCTAATAGCAATTTCCGGTATTGCTGCGTCAGTTCTACTATTTCCATGACCTCTACTTAGATCAATACTCAAATTACTAAGAGGTGCATCAAAATAAGATATATAAGTTTTGGCATATTCAAAACGCCATGGAGAGCAGTGGAAAATCTAAAACAAGTTGTATCCTTCAGCTTGGTTTATTGCTGAATTTAGCCCTGACAATACTGTCTGTGGGGTATTTGACTTACAGAGTGCATACTTTGGATGAACGAATCGTTCGATGCGAGCAAATCAAGAAAACAGAGTCAGACGATGACGTACATAAAAATCGCTTGCCAAGAGCGGCTAACAATGGCTCGAGAGATCCAACGAGTGCTTGTACCAAATGCAGAGATCTCTGTACGCAAATGTTCTCGTCTGGATCATCCAAAAAGGTATACGCAATTCTGCATTGTCACTATGACTTTTAATGAACAAACACGAGATTTCACGAAACTTTTATATACAATGTAAACGATCTTAATATTTCGTTTTTGCACTGTGCAAAACAATTCGTCATTTACAAGGACAAAATATTCTGCCTTTTAATATATTGATTCTCAACATGGACCAATAAGCAAACAGCAACACAATTAGCAACGTTACTAAGAACAAACACCTTATAACCAAACTTGACAATGATACGAAAATTTATTCGTGAAAGTTTCCAGACATTTCTAATGAAATCTTATATAGTGTAGTACATATCAAGTGACAGACTCGCCAAATTTGTGACCTCTGTGAATTGAGAAATCAAAGGCAGGGTGCATTAATAGAACTGCTATTTATCTCATAGTTAAAATCGTCAAAATCATCAAGTAAACCAGTTTGTTTCAGAGGTATGAAATTTCCTTCAATATCCCATCGATCTCTTTATTGATTTTATCTGTGAAGAGAAAATTTCCATTTGATAATTTAAGGTCCGTCTGGAGCACCGGGTCCACAAGGGCCGAAAGGACCAAGTGGACAAAGGGGACGACGTGGTAAACGAGGATTTCGAGGATCTCCTGGAATACAAGGTCCACCTGGACTACCAGGTCCGCAAGGACCGAGGGGAGTGCCAGGAAGAGCGCTCTCTGGAAAATCTTCATCGATTATCCATTCCCTTGGTGGGTACTTGAGAAGAACAAAATATAAAACCAACACGAACTATTCAATGGTAAATACATGTAAAATATACAAGCTCATGTACTTTTTAATTTTTTTGAAAGCTCTTCCAAAAATAACCAAAAGACCTCCATCTGTTCTTGTCAGCAAAGAAGGCGATAATGTGGTCATTCCGTCCAAAGCCTCTGGTTTCCCCATTCCGAAAATCTCGTGGTACAAAGACAACAAGAAAGTAGACGAGCGATTCTATATCACTGGTGCTCTACGAATAAACAATGTCAAGTTCGAAGACCATGGGGTTTACTTATTTAAAGCAAAGAATTTCATTGGTCAAGCAACAGCGAAAATGAAACTTGTTGTAAATGGTAATGTC